TGTACACATTTAGGTGACTAAAAATAGAGTTAATATTGCAAAAATAACAATAAATACATAGGGACGACAATAATGATTGAGACTAGAAAGTGTGACCATATAAAATATACTTCCTTAAATGAAATGATACGCCACCGTTGGCACGTACTTTTCGATATAACACAGCCTGCAGGAATGAGACGTGCCTGTAATATTAACACCGATTTTTGAGAAATAATAACATGAGGCTTTGGACTGGACTCAGTTTCTTATGTACTGGGTCCAGTGGACCATGGTAGGAAATTTCGAGCTGTACACGAAGCGGGGAATTTCCTGACCAGACCAGCCATCACCAGTTTCTGAAGAAACGCACCAAGGACAGTCCGTCGAAACTGAAGTGAACTATATAAATAGCATAAGTTTTTAAAACGTTTTCCAATTCATTTTTTTTAACTAAAGACATGAAGTTCAGTACTAAAAACTTAATGCAAAAGCACAAGGTGCATAGCTGTATAAGATGAAATCTATGTTAAATTTTTGAACTTTGATAAATGCTCTGATTTTATTCATGATAAAATTAGCTGCTTCACTACCGGCACTAAAAGTGTTCGCTGTTGAGAAGGCGCTATTTTTATACACAGAAGTGTAGGTCCATAACCTAATAAGTGTCTAAACACGATCAGCTGATGGACTAAAAATATTTTCCTTCTGTCTGAAAGTACATGTTCGAACGTATCGATAGCCAAGTATACAGGTAACAGAAGAATCGAATACTTTACTAACTATATATTCCCTCCATAACTAAAAGTGAATATCTGGTAGAATAGCCATTCGAAGTAAGCGTATGTACGCTTGATGAATGTGAAATAAATTAACTTGCACTAAAATGTATAACACATGTTGTTCTGGATGCGACGGTTCATAAAATAAAGGAGAGTCCAGCATCAGGAAGCATAACAAATCCCAGGGGCTACATTCGGTACTTAAAAGTTTAGAATTGGTTATGTCCCCGAGGATGGTTGTCCAGGTCGCAGCATAAACTTCCTTTCACAGTCCCTGAAGACACGTCCTGAAACATCATGTTGAAGTTACGCTTTGCTCAGTATTTCCATGTTATTGCTTACGTCACTAATTTCACAGTCTCTACACGCTCATTGTCAAAGCAGTTACGCAGCACTACAGAATAATCTGTCGGAGTTGAGGTCAAAGTCGTTAAGATGTTTAAGAAAGAACAAAATCAGTAAACCTGCAATAATTTAAAAATAAATCTGTTTGGCGAGGATGTATGCCAGGCATTTAAATACCGATGTGGTGTTTGATTTGTGTGCTTTGGGGACGATGTTTTGCTTAAAAGAATCGTCGAATGTCGAAACTATTCCGTTATTATGTACGTACAAAGTGACCTCGTAACACACGTGATTTTTATGTCGGTCTATAGGTCATGATGTAACTAGGAAAATAATGGTGGGTTGAAATTAAATGTTCTATTGCAGAGATCTAAACCAAAACAACGAGGAATGAATTTGTTTTTGTTTCTTGTTCGTTCTGCGTAAAGTATCTTGCAAATGACACTTGTCGACTTTCACAGAAACGACTCAACTTAAGAAAGTTCGTAAGACGTAATGTAAAACGTGGATCGTACTAGTATGTGAATTTTCACTAGTAATATTGCCAATATAAAATCCGATTGCTCTGAAATTTGTCGGCTGGTTCTCATGTTTTAACGTTGCTGTATCGACTGTGGGTGTTATGCAGCGTCGAGTGAGATGAGACAACGATAAAGCACGGGGAACAGAAAAGAAGAGAAAGTGACCGAACGTATTCAATAGAACAATGACAGTTTAGCCAAAGAATCTATGAAATGAAATAACACGGTTTTGAAAAGAAAGCACAATGAGTTAAAAAGCAGTTTCAATTCGTTTTGTTTTCAGAACAGAACGCGCAAATTGAACGGTAACTAAAACAATATTGCATTACAGAAAAAATAAATTTATACCGTATTTTATAAAACAGCTTTAAAAATAAAGTTGCAAATTAAATTGTCGTGGCATAGAACCAGCTAGTGTTTGTATAAGATTTTAGTCGGGAAAACTGAAGATATGAGACCGCTTATGAGGCTGTGGACTGGATTTCTCGGCCTTCGGATAGACTGCACCGCGGTCTATTTTAAACACAGTAATGAGCTACCGATTTTCAGTTTCTCAAGAAGGATTCTGCTTGTCGAGGGTCCTTACATATTTAGGCTTATGTAATTAGATCCTTTACGCATATTTACATCCAGGGATACTTGAATATGGCCGAGATAAAGGCGTATAAATAAAGAACAATGAAGTGTGTAGAAATCGTATAGATTTACTTCCTTATTAGGAATTCAGGAATCTTATATTTGGTGGATTCAAACTGCACCCGCATTATAAAGGACGCAATTTCTTGCAGAGGATATGTTTGTGATGTGGACTTATTAGCGTGGGTTTAAGACGTTTGGCTTTAATATCCTGAACTAAAAAAAAATATCCTCTTACCAATCGAGAGAACAGTTAATTTTAAGGTTCCCTCTGGTAATATTGTTGGCAATGCATTTATCTGAAGAGAACGGATTGTATCAGTTTCTATACGCCATCGGCTATTGTGTATTTTGATGGCGTGTCTGCTACAGGCACAGTTAGATTATTAATTTATTTTACTAGTGAATAGCAGGAACTCAGAAGTTCTTGAAATATTACTCACACAGATCATCGGAAGTAACAATGGACTTAAAGCGAAGTTCGTACACATTGATACCCGATACTGGCTAACCAAACTGCGCACATGATTATCTAATTAGAGCAACTCATCATGCTTCAGAAACTGGAGTTCTATGCTTAATAAATACGGCGTTAGTAGCTCTCATGAAAGTTATCACACTTGTTACGAACTTCACTGCTGCATTTTCGCTTTGTAAGCAACAGCACACGTGTAGAATATCGATCGTTACAGGCCGTAACTCACTAACTGACCGTCCATCCAGCACATTAATATCGAAGGTCCGACACCAATAATAACAAAATCCGAAACGGGCACTGATGTGTATAAAGTTTATTCGGATTTCGGGCACTTGGATTTATGTATGATCTGAAGCTTCAGTATCCTGAGGACGAGGGCGAAAGGTTCTCGAAACGTTGGTGTTTTCTCCATTCAGCCACCTGACTCTGGCTGGTAGCCCGAGAAGAATTCATTATACTTCCATTTATCATTTAGAGTACAAAATTTTGGCCAGAAAACCTGATGAAAGCAGACCACTTGGAAGACACAAGCATAAATGGGAGGATAATATCAAAATTAATCTTATCGAAATAGAGAGTGAAGTTTCATACTACATTGAAGCGGCTCAGTAAATGGTGATGGACCATCGAATTACATAAATAGCGTGGTTTTTATTAAAAGTTTAGCGACAGTCAGCTTCATAAGAGTGTTCTGCTCTGTAATGCAAACATTGATGGTCCTCGTTATGTAATTTTCTCTGTCTTTTTATATATGCTAACTCTTCGGTTTTTGGTAGATGGAAAGGCATATGAAGGTATATGTAATAAATTACGTCACCGTCGAACACCACAAAACAATACAAGTTTATTAGAATCTTTGATGTTAAAGAGCTACATCTTTCGGTCACATTCGTCAGGCCCAAGGCGTGTGTGATCTCAACCAGTTTCTTATATGTAGTGTTATAAAGATAGAAAATTTTAATGCCTTGTTGTAAGTAAGAGCTGTAAAATCTGGATCATTAATAACGAAAGTTTAAAGTTAGGTGGTTGTAAATTTAAAAAGTAAAAGAACTTTCCTGTTATTAATAACACATTAGTGTTGTTAAGTGCGAAGTAATGTAATATGGTACTATTTTCATACTTGACCGTATTAAAACAGTAATAAACGTAAGTAAATAACTGCCACAGACCATGTTAGGCTTCATACAAGCAACACAGAAGATGAAGTGAAAGGAACATATGGAGTCCTACCTAACCTTTATAAACTGTAAGCAGCAACAATATTACTATTTTCATAATGTAAATTCCTCAACACTTAAAAACACTACTACTTATTCATAAGACGACCATTCCTTCAATTTGTAATTATTTTTAGAATTTCCAACCACCCAATTTTGATCTTTGGTACTTACTTAATGATTCAACTTGCAAAACACTCACTTTTAACAAAGCACTAATATGTTTGTAATTATCTTTACACACACTGTATGAAACATCCTGCTTCAGATCAGAATTTCTTAGAGCCTGAAGATGGTCCAATGTGACCAAAATACGGAGATCCTAACATCAAAGAAAAACTTATATTGTTTATTGTTTTATTGTACAAGACGATAAATGCCACGGTGGTCTAGCGGTTAGAACGCTGGCCTTGTAATCCTGGGGTCTCGGGTTCGAATTTATAACTTGTGTTGGGCAAGGCCGTGGTCTAGGCAACACGGAGTTTTCCTCCGTGGCATCCCAACAATTACTCCATTCACACACAGAAGAAGGCAATGGCAAACCACTTCTGGATCATCTGCCAAGAACGTATATGAACAGGTCCCAGTCCGAGAAAAGGACGGAAGGATCCTGTTCATATGGACCGGTCGTCAGACAGAACACTAAATAAATAATAAAACAAAACAAGACGATGGCACAGTTTATTGCATGTATCCTCTTGCAAATATCCATTAGGGGAGGCACGAACATACATGGTTGGATCAGAAGAGTGAACAACATAGGGGCCAAGACGGGTTCAAAAATGGGGTGCACGTCAGAGGAAAAACACGAAAATCTCGGGGCACGTGTTTTCTGTAGGGGTGTTCGACTGCAAGGTTTTCATAACATTTTGTAATCAAACACGAGTAAGCTAATGACGTTATTCTAGCACTGGCGCGGTGTTGACTCGTCGGCAGATGCCAGAGTTTCAGATAAAAACTGTGCCAAAACCCAGATCAACATCACCACCGTGAAAACCTCAAATCTCATACGTGTAGGCTAATTAATGTTTTGTCGTTTCAGGTGGTGCTGGTAGTCGCGGCGAACCAGCAGATGCGGAGTACTACCAACCTACTTATCATCAACCTGGCCGTCGCTGACCTCCTGTTCATCGTCTTCTGCGTCCCTTTCACCGCCACCGACTACATGTTACCGTTCTGGCCGTTCGGAGATATATGGTGCAAGATTGTGCAATATCTCATCGTAGTTACGGCATACGCTAGTGTCTACACGCTCGTTCTTATGTCACTTGATCGATTCTTGGCTGTAGTTCATCCCATCACTTCCATGTCGGTGAGTACTCCATCTCCTGTGACTTGCTTTGAATCCCTTCAGAACAGACAGTGACGTCCTAAATTGTGTCATTCACGAATTTATGGTGTGTCAATATCGAGGCTAAGAAGTTTACACAGCTGCTTCCAACGTAACGATTCAACACAATCAAGGACTTCATCAGATTAAGCTCTTTGCGTGTTCTGTTTACAAAGATTAAAACTGTTTCTAGATATTTCTGTCGCATGTCTCAGGCGTCCTCTACCATTCTGGTGTGAAAAACACCTTATGGGCATTTTCTATCTGTCTATCGCGTCTTCCAGTCGAAATAGTGCTGTCGTCAGTGGTTTTTAAGAACTACATTTTGTGTCATATAACAAATCGAAACCTTCTCAACGGATTTTTATTAAATTTAACCCGAAGGTTATGTCATGGGACCTAGTCCAAACACGCACTTTTTAATTTTCTACAATCAGTAATTTTATCGTGATGAATGTTCAAACTTGTGAGGTGTAGAATCCTCTACGGCTTGTGAAATTATCGCCTGTGTTGCCATCGGTCAGTGGAAACATGAAAATTTTATTAAATCCGTCGCAAACGGTCAAAGAACGCCTCTCTAACTTTTGTGTACTTTGGAGAACACACATTTCCAAAGTTGGTGACATTTCAGGATCTCAGAGTTGTGAATATGAAGATGATTTTCTTCTCGGATGTTGTACCGTGCAATCGGTCATCTTAATTTCGTTGTCCCATTTATATCGATCTCAGTTCCATCAGTACAGTGACTTGGCTATGAGCTGGAATATTGGCGTTCGATTCCCGGCCGTGCAGGCTGCTTCTCCTTGCCATAACGTCCTGACCGGTTCTGGGGTTTACCCAGCCTCCAACTCATTGGGTACAGAGATCTTTTTCTCGGGATAAGGCGGTCAGGGCACGAACGTAACTACTCAGCCCATTTACTGACGAGGTCAGGCATGCGCGTAGTTTATTTCCAGTGAACCATACGCCTGCATGGAGTGGTGCTTAGGCAAGCACAAGGTACACATTCAGCTTCACGATGTTCCAGAAAATGCAGACCTACTTTTGAAATAATGCGTTCTGTTAGATTGTTTATCAAGAAATAAAAATGCATTAACCATTTGAGGCCATTATTTGGAGCACAAACTGTAACAGTAAAAGATCCATTGTTTTACGTTTGCTGTCTGTCAATGTGCATACCGCGTGCATAAATTTTATTAAAAAGTATTTCTTCTTGTCAGTCGCATACTGACCTGGGGAGACAAGATATCATTGTCTTCATAGGCTGTCACAATAATTACTAAAAGAAATTCGCTTGGCATGGAAATGTCATATTTATATAAACTGAATGAACTCTGTTCTGAAAAGTGTAGGTGTGCGCTGAACAGAAGATATTAGGTCTAAAATTCGAAGAATGTTTTCCACTGGCTGCTTCACAGCTATTTCCTATTTTGACGTTAGAATCGAGCCTCGTTGTCGAGTATTTAAAGCTAAAAAGCCCCGTATTTTTGTTCAGATACGCACAGAACGCAACGCCATAACCGCCATCGTAGTGACGTGGGTAGTGATCCTACTTGCGTCTGTACCAGTGTACCTTAGTCACGGTGAAGTAACATACACGTATTCGTCCGCTGAGCACACCGCCTGTGTGTTCCTGGAGGCTGATCCCATCAACAGACCTGACGGATACCACAAACTCTTATTCCAGGTACGTCATAACATTCTATTTTAGTTTATTATTTCAATAGATGCTATGTCTCAAGATGCTCAAACTTATAGGCCAGCAGGTCGCATTGAAAGATTGCACGTGGGACGGAGCATTCAAATATCTCTGCCGTACCAACCAAAATTTGACGAATGGATTAGCACAAGACATTTCTGAATTTGTTTACAACATATCGTAAACAACCTTGGAAGTTAAACGAACTGGAAACCACAGTCCTAATATATATATATATATATATATCATGTCTCATTATTATAATAAGTACAACGGAATTTAATCCCGAACTTTGAAAACAATACGTTCTCTTCAGAAACGAGAACACTGCCATCCAATAAAACTTTCTTCTTCAAAACATGAGTGTCTTTATTTCCCCTGAAGTTTGAAAGCTAAGCACAAGAAATTCTGAACATTTTCACTCATTAATCTAGCTTCAGGGAAATAATTCTGAGAAAGATGAATATATACAGGCAGCCTGGAGTTCGCTGTGCATGCAGCCTGGGGACAGCTGAGCACAGACAAGCAGCGAACATTCGAAGTTGGAGGAATATAAAATTGTGTTCTCCTCCTCTGTCTGTACTAATAATGTTCAAGAAGTTCTAACAAGCAAATGTAATTTTTAAGAAACCGTCATGACGCTCAAATTTAGCCTAATGAATGGCCTTGAGAATTATACTTATTCCAGTCTATTTCTGATTTCGGCTTAATGTAGCCAAAAAATTTTTTTTTTTTTAGATTTATGACCGCACGATTTTGGGTCGTCTGAACCTTGGTATTGTGGGTTCAAACACCACGTGACCCAGATAACTCTTATTTCTTGTGTTGTATACGTTGTTTGTAGAATATGAATGCAAATGAGCGCATGATGGGGATATCGCGTGTGTAGGTCCGCGTGTTTCATCTCGGAAAATTACTTGGTGGATCTCGATTGAACTTTGGAAATAGAATCTTTACTCAATTTGTCGGGAAACTGCAATGTTACTTCATTGGTATGTTACATGAAGCTCAGATCAAAATAAATAGACTTTATAAAGAAAGACCATCATAAAAAATGCATGCATGAGAAAAATTGACCCATAGACCTCAGTAATATGACCGTCTTCTGGGATTTTGCACAATGTGGTTAGGAAATCGCCCGATGATGGAGGCAGTAAGTAACTCTGAAACGTCGGTAAACGTCAACCAGACCACATGGCGCAACATCCCCGAAGTGACTCAGCAAGCATGCCTTTAAACTACGGAAACGAAGCTTTTAATTGGTAGTACAACTCGAGAGATGTGTGTTTCCTGAGTACAGAGCATCTTCTTCGCCACGTCGTACGCCACACCCCTGGCGCTCATCTGTGGCTTGTACCTGTGGCTGCTAGTGCGACTGTGGCGCGGGGCGGCACCAGGGGGCCACGTGTCGGCAGAAAGTCGCAGGGGCAAGAGGAGAGTCACCCGCATGGTCGTCGTCGTGGTCGCCATTTTTGCCGTCTGCTGGTTCCCGATACAGGTGCGACCTCGGAAAGCAAATACTCGGCAGAACGAGTAGAATCAGGTTATCTCTTCGAAGGTGAAGGTCAGCAGTGACAAACACCAGCAAAAGCAGGTTTGAAAAAGTAGTTCACAGTGAGGAGAGGGGGATTATTAGGTCTGTGGACGGCTATTGTGACGATGTTTTCGTAACTGCCAGTACAAAACTTGCTCCCGCGAAATTTACGCGTTTGATATGCAACTCTGACTTGCGCGTTTTGCACATTTACGTAACGAATACACGGCCACAAATTAAATAAGCAATAATATGTTCCACACAGTGATTTAAGCTCTACAAGCTTTTTCTAATCTGACTCTTCGACCAAACTGAAGAAACAATGAAGCTTACATGTAAACTGTAATTTTCATGTACCATTAAAATGAGTGCCTTCTCGGATGTAGAGCCGTGTAGTCTGGTAGATATTGATCAACGATTCCGAGGACCTTGCTGCCTCAATCATCACTCATATCCTGACGGTGGAGGCGGTAAAGTCCTCTGCAACGTCGTACACGGCGCAGCATCCGAGACGACAGTCATCTTCATACTTGTCGCCGTGAGAACTACTAAGTGGTCATTATCAGGAAGTTTCCCCAACAAAATTCGATGTGCATTTCTTCTCTATCCAATCCTAGCCACAAGCCCAGCTAATGGCAGAAATCTAGAGAATACTATTCCAACGCTAGGCGTGAATAAATAGTAGGATTGCTCGTTTTGAAGTAATATATAGGTGTGAATATACACCCACATACATAAAATGTATAGTTATAAGTCTGTATTTGTTGTGTATGACTGCCCAAGTTCTCAGTAAAGGCGCTAGTGCTGCTTCCATTTGGAAGTTTTTAGAAG